GCAGACTGGCCCTGCGCGCTTCTGCGTCCGTCCGGCTCCTCCGGCCTTACATAACTTCCCGTGCAAAGTTCTGCAGGGGTGGACACAGCCCAGCACCTCCAGACCCAACTCCAAAGGGCTCCAACTGAGCCCTCTAGCGGGCTTCAAAAACTCAACAAAACACCCATAGCCTTAATTTAATTAACACTCTGCCAGAGGCCTCTAAACCCTAATCCTCTCAACAAAAGGATCATTAACTAAATGAAGAGATTCAAGAGAGCAATGGTGCTCTCAGCCGCAGCAAGGCCGACTGCGTGCTCCAGCGGGCACACGCCGAGGCCTGAGGAGGGTCCCGAAACCCAGCCAGATCCTTGGCCCACGCCGCAGACGCACCGAGGGTCTGGGGACCTGCTCGACGAGTGCACAGTTGAGCGCTCATGGCACACAGGGGAAGTCTAGCATGGTGCCAGACTTCTCTACAGCCACCCTGGCTCACCGGCAAGACGGGCAGAAGCCCGCACCCATTCTTTGGGAGGCACCGCAATGCTGACAGTCCCAGGGCTGTCATCTCCAGCATGACTGAAACCCTAAAAAGGAGAGGATTTAGGTGGAGCGCTGGTTGTTTTTAAGTGTTATTATCCACCGATGTCAAAAGCCTGGCAAGCAGGGAAAGAAGAGCTCTCCTTTCAAGAGGCAGCCTCGGTCCTTCAACCGAAGGCTGGAAAAACATCTCCATCTCGCCCGGCCCTGCCAGCATGAACAGCAGGAAGGGTTTTCCTCACTTAAGAGAGCGGGGTGTACGTTGGCAGACAAATTTACAGCATGCAGGGTGCAGTCCAGTCAGGTGCAGTCAGGGAAAAGCCTTTGAAGTCAAAAGGTTCCCAGCCCACGAGCTTCACCCCAATGAGACAGGGATGGAGATCTGGGTTTGCCCTTTGCAGGTGGCTCTCTTGGAAAGCCACCTCTAGCTCCTGAGCCACACAGAGGATCCAGAGCACCACGGCTGCAAGGAGCACATCCACGAGACTACTCATTAGTATGGTGAACAGGAGCAGAAGAAAGCTTAATTACAGGGCAGGGATCGTTCCCTCTGGGTTCGGATGTCAGCAGCAGCCTCGGCGGGGCCGTGCTGCCCCACGGGACAGGCGTTCCTCGACAGAGCCCGCAGCAAGCGCCGCCTTTGCCTGGTCAGCGGGATCCTGGTTGGGGCTCTTGCGATGAGCTGCAGAGCCTCAGGCTCACAAATGTGAGAACCCAAAACAAGGAAGACTTCAGGCATTGCTTGCAAAAAAGCTTCTCTTGGCCAGCAGCAGTCTGCACAGGTCTCTCTGGAGATGCTACTGCAGCCCACCTATCGGTACTGGTCCCCTGGTTTTGGTGCTGTATGCGAGCACCCCTGCCCTGAGGAACTCGGTGTCATCAGCAGCTTCTGAAGCTCAAATCTGAGCTCCAGCCGTGGCGTTCACCAGGGCAGAGACTGCGGTAGCTGCTGGTGGGGCAGGTTCATACCCCAGAGGCTGCCACAACCTGGGGCAGGGCTTTTAGGGTGGCCAGGAGATGCTTTATCACACTACCTCTCCCCAAACCAACGCAGCCTTCCCTGGAGGGACCTCAGCCCTCCAAGGTGCCAGCCAAGCCCATCGCAGACCCTCTATGTTTGGGTTTGTATGCTGGAAAGCATTCACAGAGGTCCCCATTTTCAGTAAGTGCCTTTTGCCCCTGCCCTCTCCCTGCAGCTTTTCGGGACGTGCCTCCAGGATAGAGATGACACGTCGTTGAGGCCTCCTTGCCTGAAGATGCAGGAACAACTGTTCCCAGAGTTAATGAGGCTGTCCTGCTTTGATCCAGGGCAGTTTTCAGCAGACACAGAATAAGCAGTCCTCTCCACAGTCACCTCCTGGAATAAATCCCAAGAGCTCCCGTCACCCCAGCCCAGGCAAGAACACAGATGGTCGCAGAGATTAAAACATACAGAGAATTAACTGCCCCATGCAAATGAGCTTCTTCATCCAGCCCAACGCTGCCAGGTGGTTTGAGGTACAGCGCTTGGATGTGATCATCATGGTTTGCTGAGCTCCGATAACAGCCCCGTATCAACCAGAACAGGGGGCCAGAAAGCCAAGAAGTTTGAAGGCAGTTTGTAGGGGAGGCAAGATGCAAACTGCCAGAGTCAGGCAGCTGCCGTAACCACATCTGCCTCCCGCTACAGCAGTGGGGGAAAAACAGCATCACCAGGAAAAAGCCTGGCCAGCAGCATGGATGAATTCTGTGCTCAGATATCTTGTGTATTCCCACCGAAAGGCAGCTTGGATGGATCAAACAGTGCTGCAACCCCAGCACGAGCCATCTGCAACTCCGGATGCTTCCCCAACACCTCTGA